GAATAAGAGCAAGCAATGAGGTGCACATTAGCCCTTCCCCTCATGCCCCAGTGGGACTCCAGGCGCTGGGCCTCCCTGCACCTCTTGAGTGGACATCTGTGTTTCTCCTGTGTCCTTGGATTTCTCCCCAAAATACACTCAAGACACACAAAACACACTGAAGTGACATAATGATGAGCAGCCAAAACCTCAGTGAGGAAAACTGTTGTAAAAAAGTTCTGCTGAAATATTACCTGGGAAAGCAAAGAACATGGCAGAACTTCCTTCTCAGCAAACAGGCAGTGCCCAGGAAGCTTCTTCCTCATGTTTTCCTCACCTGGACCTCAGTCATCCTGAATCCACAGTGGAGTCTCCATGGGTAGGCGCCAAGGAGAAGGAAGCCCTGGTCCTCACCACAGACATATCCCCCAGGCATCCCCAGGCCATGGTGTCTCCCCAAGAGAGTCCCTAGGGTAAGGAAGCCCTGGACCCCACCTTAGACAGAGCCCCCAGGCCCCCCCAGGCCATGATGTCTCCCCAAGAGGGTCCCCAGGGTAAGGAAGCCCTGGTCCCCACCTTAGACAGAGCCCCCAGGCATCCCCAGGCCATGGTGTCTCTCCAAGAGGGTCCCCAGGATAAGGAAGCCCTGGTCCCCACCTTAGACAGAGCCCCCAGGCATCCCCAGGCCATGGTGTCGCACCAAGAGGGTCCCCAGGGTAAGGAAGCCCTGGTCCCCACCTTAGACAGAGCCCCCAGGCATCCTCAGGCCATGGTGTCTCTCCACGTGGGTCCCCAGGGTAAGGAAGCCCTGGATCCCACCTTAGGCAGAGTCCCCAGGCATCCCCAGGCCATGATGTCTCCCCAAGAGGATCCCCAGGGTAAGGAAGCCCTGGTCCTCACCTTAGCCAGAGCCCCCAGGCATCCCCAGGCCATGGTGTCTCCCCATGAGGGTCCCCAGGGTAATGAAGTTCTTGTCCTCAATACAGACAGAGCCCCCAGGCATCCCCAGGCCATGGTGTCTCTCCACGTGCTTCTGCAGGATAAGGAAGTCCTGGTCCCCACCTTAGGCATAGACCCCAGGCATCCCCAGGCCATGATGTCTCCCCAAGAAGGTCCCCCAAAAAGGAAGCCCTGGTCCCCACCTTAGGGCCCCCAGTCATCCCCAGATGTGGCATTTCCCACGTGGGTCCCCAGGAGAAGGAAACTTGCAGAGGACACAGAACACCACCCCCCAAAAGCAGGTGGTGGGAGACAGTTGTTATGCGCGCCCCCTGCTGGCCACCATGGGCAGCGCAGGGTGCCGCAGGCTTAGCCTTCAGAGCTGCCTCTGCACACCCTAGTGCCAGTCAACAGTGAAGCTCTGAAATTCATAGTTCTGATGATTTCTGGTCATAGTTTCATAAATCAAAAAGAAAGAGGGATGGGGCGGTATCAATGGCAAAGCTCTGGCCTAGCACATGTGAGGCACTGGGTTTGATCCTCAGCACTGCATTATATAAATAAGATAAATAAATAAAGACATGCTGTCCATCTAAAACTATAAAAAAAATTTAAAAATAGAGCCCATCCTATGTCTTGGTCAGAATGGATGGAGATAGAAAGCTGCAAAGTACATGGCCCCTAGGCAAAATTCCACTGATTTCCTATATAGTAGCAATCACGTAAAGTGTGGAATGTGTAAACTGGAATAAAAGGATTTTAAATGTGTTAACATGTAAAATAGCAACCCCCCAAACTGAAGTACCTGCTTTCAGAAAATCTTGAAACAGAAGAAAGAAATCAAATGCAATATAAATCAATGCAGAGATACTCCTTGCTCAGGTCTCAATGTCGTTAAGATAAACCTCCTCTGCAGATTCAGTGATTCCAAGTGAAATTCCCAACAAGCTGTTTCTGAACCTAGGATCCAGATGCACCTCAAGAAGGCACACATCTGGAGCCCAGAAGCTGTCAAAATACTCCATAGACTTGCATTTACAATGCGAAACTGCAAAATTCTAGAAGATGTGCATGACCACATGCTCCCTCTGTCTGCTGCCAGGCTCTTCCCTGGCTTCTCCTGGCTCCTCTCCTGGTTTCCTCCAATCTGCAGCCTCAGAGGTGCAAGCCAGACAGGGATGGGGAAGTGTGTGCACGTATGTAAAGGCACACAGAGGTGCATGGGTGTGTCATGCGCATGTGTAACAAAGTTGGTGGGGAAGGCTGTGAGGGTGTTGTGTATGTGTGCACCTACACATATGTCTGCCAATGCCTTGGCTGGGCACAAGATCAGGAGGCACTCACACACCTTGTAGATTCAACTAGCAATTCTTTATTCCCGAACTCACACCGGCCTCTACACACGTTCTGGGGAAATCCGCATTCTGCTGCCGCACAATTCACGTCCCAAAAATACTTTCTCAATTCCAAGAGAACTCAAGGGAACTCAGGCAGCAGGAACGCCCTATTCCCAGCAGCAATAAACTTAAACCTGGAACTTCCCTAAAACCACATTGTCTTAAACCGGGAACGCCTTAAACCCAAATTATCTTAAACTCAGATACTTCCTAAAACCTGCAGGATACACCCTAATCCTGGATCCACCCTGGTCCTTGAGCAGGGTCACCTTTCTCAAACACACATGCAAGGTCACAGCAAATTTCCAAGGCAAGTCCATTTAACATGGGGTATGCTGGCAAGGAAATTTCGATGCATCATTCCTACTTGGCAATGGCCCTCAGCATATGTCTATACTTGTATTTGTGATTGTGTGTCCACTTGGGGTGCCAGTCAGGGAAGGAAGGAGTGCACCCCACTCCTCCAGACGAATCCTAGATCCTCAGTTTCCTTCTATGGAATTTTTTTTTTTCTAAAAACACCTTTTTCTTTTAAGAATATTAAGAAGTGATGCTGTATTTTTATTAACATTCACACACTAGGTCAAGGCCCAGCCTGGCTCAGGGAGGGCAGAGGGACCATCCAGGCCACCTGGATAGAGGTGTCGCTCCCTCTGTCACTGCACCCCTTCCTGTGCTGCTGGAGGGGCTGGAATCAGGCCTGTGCACCCCAGCAGAGAAGGACTAGAATGTGCTGAGGTCTCCCTCAGAAGAACAAGAGAGTTGGAAGGGAGCAATGCCTGACGCTGAGGGCATGGACTTTGCTGCCCACAGAGGAAGAGCACAGTCTCTGGTCTTGGATCTGATGCTCATCCCTGAGCTGAGAGCAGCGCTTTCACACAGAAATGTCCCCAGGCACAGCGGTGAATGGCCTGAGCTCAGAACAGGAGATCTGAGGGGCTCAAAACTAACACAGTTCCTTTCCTGCCACATGCTCCTGACCTGCCCTGTGGTCTTTCAACTCAGCCCTCAAATGCCTTGGCCACTTTCCTTGGTCCCTCCCCTAACCAAAGCCAAACTGCTCCAGGATGCCTCCTCAGCTTCAATTTCAGAACAGTCTCCTTAATGCTGAGGTGATTCGCAAGGTGCACTGGGAGGAGCAGATATCTTTAGCACAGGGAGAGCCAGTGGGTCCATTTCCAGGACCAACAAAACAGAGCACAGAAATAAGTGTGATGTAAAACACAAACATGTGATCTCCCCATTCTGCAGGCCAGAATCCCCAAATGAGAGTGTCATCAAGGCCATTCTCCCTCTGACAGCTGTTGGGAGGGTCCCTCCTTGCCTCTTCAGCTTCTGGTGACTGCTGAAAATCTCCTGTCTTGCAGCATTAGGGAAATAATTACCCATTAAAGCAGAGGGTTCAATCAAGGCCCTATATGCTGGGGAAGGGTTGTCCTTGCTAAACCCACCAAACAGGGTGCTTCTGGAGACAGCCAGGGTGGCCAGATGTCACCAGGGATGGCAGAGGATGAGGAGCCTGATTCAATACTGGGGAGTGCTGAGGGCCATTGCCAAGTAGGAATGACGCATTGAAATTTCCTTGCCAGCGTACCCCATGCTGCTTAGAGGACATTCGATGGGACATTGCATGTATGCTTTAGTAAGGTGACCTTGCTCAAGGACCAAGGCGGATCTGGGTTTAGAGCTGATCAGGTTTGAGGAAGTTTTCCCTCCTTGAGTTTAAGGCGTTCCTGGTTTAAGACAAGTTTAGGGCGTTCCCGGTTTAAGACAATAGGGGTTTTAGGGAAGTTGGAGGTTGAAGATTATTGCTGCTGGGATTAGGGTGTTCCTGCTGCTTGTTCCTGTTGAGTTCTTGTGAGATCAAATGGGATTGGAAAAAAGCCTCGTGGAGTAGGTGAATTGGAGGCAGAACTTGGATTTCCCCAGAACCTGTTTGTGTAGAGGCCCTTGTGAGTTCGGGAATAAAGATTTGCTGTTTGAACCTACAAAGCTGTGTGGTGGCTCGTGATTGTGCCAAGCCGAGACATTGCCAGGGAGGGGGTGTCCTTGCTAAACTGTTGAGCAGGGTGCTCTCCCCTCACTGAATTGTACAAGGTAGGGCAGCAGCAAGCCCAGGAGAGGGTCCAGGAGTCTGCAGAAGTGTGGCCAAGCAGAGGGTCTTTGTCAGTCTCCTCTTGTTCAAGAAGAGACGTTCCTCTGTCCTCTGAACAATATGAATTCATGTCGTCATTTGGTTGCCTTATATTTATCAGGGACCTGCTGACTCATCTCTGGGACTTTGTAGTGGAAGATACTTGCTGGACGGGGCCAATTGCCAGGCATTTAATGAGAAGGAATTAATAAGAAAATAAATAAAACATGGGAAAAATATCACAAGTAAATTCTGTTCCTGGATTGTCTTTGATGGTGCTATGGTTTGAATTTTTGCAATCCAGAATTCGTATGATGTGATGTGGGAGCAGTAAGGGGAACTCTGAGGACTGACTGGCCCTGAGCACTCGGCCCTCATGAGTGAATTTATCCATTCATAAATTTTAATGGATCAAGGGCTCAGTGGGTAGAGTGCTTGATTCACATGCACACGACCCGGGGTCCAATCCCCACCACCACAAACATTAATTACTTAGTTAATTAATTAGTGGATCAATGAGTTGTCAAGGGAACAGATTTGCTACAAATGCCAGCTGGTCTTTTCACACAGTGTCTCAGGATACTGCAGAGTCCCTTCCAGAAGAGGCCTTCAACAGATGCAGCCCCTGACCTGGGACTCTCTACACACCTTAAAGTAAAAATAGCTTTTTTTTTTCTTTTGGTGCTGGGGATTGAACCAGGGCTTTGTGCATGTGAAACAAGCACTCTACCAACTGAGCTATATCCCCAGCACTAAAAATAGCTTTTTAATGAATGACTCAGCCTCAGTTGAGCAGATACAGCAACAGAAAACAGCCCAAGTCAAATGGAAATATCAAAGGGAAAACAGATGGCGAAGGGACAAAAGGAAACTGGTGTGCTATGTGTAGGCCACACAGGAATTACTGGAATTTGAATTTTAAAAAAAATAGCACTCCTGAAATACTGAAGGATTATTCTGACAACACATATACAAGTATGCATTTAGAAAACTTTGAACATGGTTGAAAGGAATGAAAAGAAACATAAATAAATGCAGTGATTTTCCTTGCTCAGGATCAATTCAACCATTAATGTTAGCAAGGTACTTCTTTCTAATTTGATCTTTAGATTTAGCAGAATCCCAATCACAACACCACAGAAGATACCTACAAATGCTGAGCCTAGAAGATATGGCATAGGAGTGATCAAAAATAGCTCAAAAGGGGGCTGGGAATGTGGCTCAGTGGCAGAGCACCTGCCTCACACATGTGAAGCACTGAGTTGGATCCTCAGCACCACATAAAAATAAACAAACAAAATAAAGATATTTTAAAAAATAGTTCAAGACTCTGCACATCTGGTTACAGCACTTATCATAAAGCTTCAGTGATCCCAGAGTGTGGCAGTGAGAAAGGAATTGGAAATAGACAAAAGGAACAGAAGAATGAGCCCCAAAAAGACCCATGTAAAACCAGTCAAGTGGTCCTCTTAAAGGAACAAAGGCAACTCGATGGAGAGAAAAAATCTGTAACCATGAATGGCTACAGAACAGTTGTGAAAATAAAAATGAACCACATGAAACTCAAACGCGATCTTTATGGCTTATCCAAAAAGCTACTCAAAATAATCCATAAAGTCAAATTTTCAAGTGCAAAATTGTAAAATTTATAGAAAAAAATCTGCACAGCCTTGTGTCTTATAAATAGGAGGAATCAGACCCAGGAAAAACACCCTGTGGAGACTGAAGCTCTGCTGCCAAAGCCTGGAAACTAGAGAGGCTGCAGGGAGACCATCCCGGGGAATGCAGCCAACACCTCAGTTCCAGAGCTCTGGACTTCAGAGTCTGAGGCCACACGTCTCTGTGTGTCTAAGCTATCCAGTTGGTGGCACTTTGCTAGGCTCTGTAGGAGAATGACACAGGCACATTCTGCCCACCCTCTGTCTCCCCAAGCTCATCTCACATAGGGAGGGGACAGGAGCAGGGCACTTCACAGGCCCTCACCACTGCCAGGTGGTCACTTCCCACACTGACTGTCTGGGCACTCTGGCCTCAGCTTTCAACCTCCTGGAGCCAGTACAGGATGAGGACAAGGAGCAGTAAGATGTCAGCCTTCCTGGGACTGGACACTGAGCCTCCACCTTGCTGTTCCTGGGCCCCAGAAAGGACAGAACTAGACAAATCCCACCCCTTACATGGCCTTCAGCCCACCTCCCAGCCATCCACAGCTTGTAACAGCAAAAATGTCCCTTTTAATCTCAGGAGGCAAAGGAGAGGACGTTCCACCTGGTCAAGGCATCTCACATGTGTCCACTGGGCCCAAGCTGGCCCTTTAAAGGGGTGAGGGAAGAACACCCTGGGGGTCAAACAAGACAGAAAGGGGAGAGGAGTTGGGGGTGCTGGTTGTCAGGAAGCTGAGGGTGGATATGTCTCCCCATAGAGGCCGAGTGCAGGCGCTGAAGAGGGACCTCCTGCCTCCACCCAGGGCCTCTGATAACTGCATAGGCACCCTTTCTCAGGAGACCCAGTCCCAGCCAAGGGGCAGCTCCAGGGACTTAGTCTGTTTTCCCAAAATGGGCACGACGCAGCTTGCTGAGTCAGGATTCTGACTTTCAGGACTAGCACACTGCCTGTTCAGCACAGGAGGAGCAAAAGGCCCTTCACAGCCCAGGCCTCCAACTGTGCCTCCCTTACAGGCATCTCCTTTGTGGGACACCAGGCCCTGCTGGCTGCAGAAAAGGCCACAGGCCAACACAGGAATGGTTAGGGACTCTGAGTGTTTACTAGGGGGCTGAGGGCGGGCACTCCCCATGGCAGCCAAAGGCAGAGCAGTCAGTGCCTCTGCCCTCTAGAGTCTGGGGTGGGGGGCTTCCTGGTCGGGGATGCATGAGTCCAGTCCTCCTGAGGCAGGTAGGAAGATGGTGTTCCCCCAAGTCCACACACCCTGCTGGAAGCAAATCCCCTGAGCTCAGGGACTCAGCTCAGTTTGTGCCTCATGTGCAACACCCCACCTCCACCTCGTCCCTCAAAACAACTGCCTGAGGAAAGCTCAAGGCTTCCAAGAAAACTTACTCTGTCCTGGCCAACACCTGACGACAGGCCCCAACCTCCCTCTCTCCGGTCATTTAATAGAAAGGACTTGCATGACAACATGCACCTCTTGCAACTCAGAGGGGCTCAGAGCCTGAGAGCCATTACCTTGAAATATAATCATCCAGTAGGACAGGTTCTCTCTCCCAGTCTCTGGGGGAAGACAGAATTCTTAGACCACTGCCACCAACACAGCTGACCTAACTGCATTCACAACGACTGCCCCTACTTCTTACTTCACCGAGTCCCAAGCTGAATTCTTCCCTCCTTCCCCCTTTACTATGCCCAAATTACCTCTGCAGATCATAATGGAACTCGGCTCTTTCCTCCACCTTCAGTAGCTACCTAGTGAAATCTGACCTACTGCTACATCTGATGTCCAGTTGTGCCCATCGGTGACATCACTGCAGTGGACATCACCTGATGTCCAGTTGTGCCCATCGGTGACATCACAGATGTGGACATCACCTGATGTCCAGTTGTACCCATTGGTGACATCACAGATGTGCACATCACCTGATGTCCAGTTGTACCCGTCGGTGACATCACAGATGTGGACATCATCTGATGCCCAGTTGTACACATGGGTGACATCACTGCAGTGGACATCACCTGATGTCCAGTTGTGCCCGTCGGTGACATCACAGATGTAGACATCATCTGATGTCCAGTTGTACCCATCGGTGACATCACAGATGTGGATATCATCTGATGTCCAGTTGTACACATGGGTGACATCACTGCAGTGGACATCACCTGATGTCCAGCTGTGCCCGTCCGTGACATCACAGATGTAGACATCATCTGATGTCCAGTTGTACCCATCGGTGACATCACAGATGTGGA